TGACTAGGTATGAATGGGTTGACCAGGGATGAGTAAGGATGAGTAGGGAAGACTTGGAATTATTAGGGATGACTGGGATGACTAGGGATTACTGGTGATGACTAGGGATGACTATTGATGACCAAGGATGAGTAGGGATGACTGGGATGACTAGGGATGACTGGGGATGAGTGGGATGACTAGGAATGACGAGGAATGACTAGAGATGACTGGGATGACCAGGGATGACCAGGGATTACTAGGGATTAGTAGGGATGACTGGGATAACTAAGGATGACTAGGGATGACTTGGGATGACTTTCGATGACTAGGGATGACTGGTATGATTAAGGATGACTATTGATGACTTGGGATGACTAGGGATGACTAAAGATGACTGGAATGACTAAGGATGACTAAGAATGACTGGGATTACTAGGGATTACTGGTGATGACTAGGGATTTCTTGGGATGACTAGGGATGACTTGCATGACTAGGGATGACTATTATTGACTGGGATGACTAGGGAGGACTGCGATGACTAGGGATTACTGGAATGACTAGGGATGACTAGGATGGCTAGGATTGACGAGGGATTACTAGGGATGACTGGGTTGACCGGGGATGAGTAGGGATGCGTAGGGATGACTGGGATGACTAAGGATGACTAGGGAAAACTTGGAATGATTAGGGATGACTTTGGATGACTGGGATGACTAAGGATGACTAGGGATGACTAGGGATGACTAGGGATTACTGGCATGACTAGGGATGACTAGGATTGCTAGGGATGACTGTTGATGACTATAGGGATGACTAGGTATGACTGGGTTGACCAGGGATGAGTTATTATGAGTAGGGAAGACTTGGGATTATTAGGGATGACTGGGATGACTAGGGATTACTGGTGATGACTAGGGATGACTATTGATTACCAAGGATAAGTAGGGATGACTGAGATGACTAGGGATGACTAGGGATGAGTGGGATGACTAGGAATGACGAGGGATGACTAGAGATGACTGGGATGACCAGGGATGACTAGGGATGAGTAGGGATGACTGGGATGACTAAGGATGACTAGGGATGACTGAGATGACAAGGGGTGACTTGGGATGACTAGGCATGGCTTGGGATGACTAGGGATGACTAGGGATGACTTGGATGACTAGCGATGACTAGGGATGACTGGCATTACTAGGGATGACTAGGGATGAGGGGGTGACTAGGGATCACTGGGGATGACTGGGGATGACTAGGGATGACTAAGGATGACTGGGATGACTAAGGATGACTAGGGATGACCGGGATGAGTAGGGATGACAAGGGATGACTTGGGATGTCTAGGGATGACTTGGATGACTAGCAATGACTAGGGATGACTGGGATGACTAGGGATGACCAGGGATGACTGGGATGACTAGGGATGACTGGGATGACTAAGGATGACTAGTGATGACTGTGATGACTAGGGATGACAAGGTATGACTAGGGATGACTGGGATGACTAAGGATAACTAAGAATAACTGGGATGAGTAGGGATGACAAGGGATGACTTGGGATGACTAGGGATGACTAGGGATGACTGTGATGACTAGGGATGACAAGGGATGACTAAGGTTGACTGGGATGACTAAGGATAACTAGGGATAACTGGGACGACAAGGGATGACTTGGGATGACTAGGGATGACTGGGAGGACTAGCAATGACTAGGGATGGGTGCGATGACTAGGGATGACTGGGGATGGCAAGGGATGACTAGGGATGACTGGGATGACTAGGGATGACAAGGGATGACTTGGGATGATTAGGGATGACTGGGATCACTAGCAATGAGTAGGGATGACTGGGATGACTAGGGATGACTAGGTTTGACTCGGTTGACTAGGGATCACTGGGGATGAGAAGGGATGACTAGGGATGACTGGGATGACTAAGGATGACTATCGATTACTGGGATGACAAGTGATGAATTGGGATGACTAGGGATGACTGGGGACGACTAGGGTTGACTGGGATGACCAGGGATGACTGGGGACGACTAGGGTTGACTGGGATGACTAAGGATGACTAAAGATGACTGGGATGACTAGGGATGACTTGGGATGACTATTTAGGGATCACCAGGGATGATTAGGGATGACTGGGATGACTAGGGATTGCTAGCAATGATTGATATGACTAGGGATAACTAGGGATGAGTGGGATGACTAGAGATGGCAGGGTATGCTTAGGGATGACTAGGGATGACCAAGGAAAACTAGGGATGACTAGTGATTACTGGTGATGACTAGGGATTTCTTGGGATGACTAGGGATGACTAGGAATGACTGGGATGACTAGTGCTGACTAGGGATGACTAGGGTTGACTAAGGATGACTGGGATGACTAGGAATTTCGCGGGATGACTAGGGATGACTTGGGACGACTAGTGATGACTGCGATGACTAGGGATGACTAGGGATGACTAGGATGACTAGGGATGACCAAGGATTACTAGGGATGACTGGGATGACTAGGGATTACTTTTGATGACTAGGGATGACTTGGGATGACTTGGGATGACTAGGGATGACTAAGGATGAGTATGGATGACTGGGGATGACTAGGGATGATTGGGATGACTAGGGATGACTTGCATGACTGGGGATTACTAGGGGTGGGTTGAATGACCAGGGATGAGTAGGGATGACTGGGGATGACGAGGGATGAGTGGGATGACCAGGGATGAGTAGGGATGACTAGGAATGACGAGGGATGACTAGGGGTGACTAGGGATGACAAGGGATGTTTGGGATGATCAGGGATGAGTAGGGATGACTAGGGATGACCGGGATGACTAAGGATCACTAGGGATGACTTGGGATGACTAGGGATGACCAAGGTTGACTAGAGGGAATTGTCTGAAAGTTTTATTTTTGCGTGATCAGTAGTAACTAACAATGCATTTGACATAATGCAAAAATGCTAGCTCTTGTTGTACACGAAAATAAGAAACTTGTGGACAATAGCCGTGAATAATGAGAGGCTCTTACTTGTAAACACAAAATGTCTGACAAAATATTAGGAAATTGAACCCCTTATCTTACTGCCTTACAATATATCAATAATCTTGAAAGTAAAAAGTCATATAAAAGGACGGTTAATCTCAAGATTCTTAAATTTCTAAGAAATTTATTGAGCGGTTTAAAATTAGTCACTAATTTGTTAAAGTAGACCTAAATGTTTACAATACCGCCAACAAGAGCGCCTTGATACACACTAATCAAATCCTTCTTTCTAGCAATCGGGTGGAGGTATCTCCATGATCTTTCACACACGTGTTTAAAAAGATTGAAACTACTATGAGGTGAAATTGCATGTGAAAAGCTCTTCATTTAGTACAGATAACAGTCGAACATGAAGATTGTCCATTTTTTACCGTATTTCTAACCATAAGAACTTCTTCCAGTAAAAGATTTTGGAAGAACAGTTCCCAGTGCCGAGAAATAATGCTGCAAGTAAAATAGGTAATGGCGTCATTTCGTTGTTGTGACAACTCTGATGTCATTGCAGCCCTGATCATAACAAATTTTCATCTTTATCTAATACAACTGTGGTGTTAATTTCTCCAAATCTTTGTTTATGGCGACATGGTTTACGCTCAAACTTGGAAGGTATTGACCTTGAAAAACTGTATCGAGCCACCTTCAGAGTTTATTTAGCGCTTATAATTTGGCTTAAATTCAGAATTTTCAGAAGTTTAGACAAAGTGTCCGTTAGAATCCTTCTTGATATACTCTTTCGTATTTTTAGGTTTTCTAAAGCGTCTTTAGATACGGTCACATTTTTATTCCTTAAATATTAAAACTTAGTCGACATCTATCTTGGCGCTGAGACGTCCGGAAGGTGGCCATGGAATTTTGTAATTCAGTATAAATCAACGCTGAAATTTCGCGCTAAAATTAAGGAGTAATTCGTTATCCACGATATTGTAGTTCTTATATTTCATGTTGTAATTTAGATTTAGTGCGCTTGTTCAACTTTTGTAATTATCGTATTTTAATAAACCGAGGTGCTTAATTAACAGTGTTCTTAGTAAGTCTATATTTTTTCCGAAAAAGTATGGGAAATGGGATTAACTAAAGCCCCCCACCCAGTCCCCTTGGCTCCGAAAGCCCGGTGTAAAAAGATGTCTTATGGAACCCAGAAGCCGCTTTAACGGTTTCAAGTTCTTGCCCTTTAGGCAGCTTGTTTCTGTTTTGTTTTTCCAGTTATACTTAGTTTCCCAGACCTTTCCGTAATGAAGAAGGACAAAAACAGGAGGCCGGGCGTCACCCCGGACAGGAGCCCATGCCGCGGAGCCAGGTTCCCATCGGCTACCAGTGTCACAGAGCATTAGCCGCTTAATTTCCTTGTTGCTATACTTTTTACTGCTGATCATACAAAGAACAAAGGAAGGACGCCTGATCTCAGGTTATTTTCCATCCCTAATTACCAACTGAACTCAAAGAAGGTTGTGTTGCTCGGTCCCACAGCAAGCTCTCCATGCGACCCTCGAGCGAGCGGGAAGTCCCACGCACTCGGGTCTCCTTTCGCGTACATTTTTTTCTCTCGCGCGACTTGCCCAAACGGAGAGCGTGCTCGCAGGCTAATGCTAATGAGTTAAACTACCGTCAGCTGACACCTCACCATCCGCCATTTCCACACATTTGCTGGAAATTCTACTTTGGGATCGGCTTAGACCAGGGTCAAAAATAGAACTTCACTGGTGACGAGCCAAACGCTAATGAACGAGAACAAATAGATTATATTTTGCTCATTAGCAATACGTTCATCACATGTGAGGTTCGACGAGACCTGGGCGATAACCCGGTTCAGCTGATCTACAGGGTAATGTCTGAATCTAATTTAAGCGTTCATTTGAGAAGTTTGATTTGTTTTCTACAAATCCCTAGCACTACTGCAGCCGAAGTTCATGTTCAATTGAGCGTCTTGCGGTAGAATTAATAACAGTAATAAATCACAGACAAATGTTACAATTGAAATGAAGCTTTAATTCCAAGGTCTGAAGAATCGAAAATCGTAGCAATAGTTCCTACTCTATTGAGTGGTATGTGGGATTAAGTTATTAAATATCCAAAACTGTACTCTGTTCTTAATATATATGTATATTTAAACTTTCAAACCTTAACCAGAGTGACGCATATACAGTTGAGAATCGGTAGCAAACACAGAGGCGTGCGGCCAGCGCTCGCTCTCGTGTGTTTCTGCTTCCGTCCGCTCTAAGCCTAGTTATCGACTAAATTCATACACAAAAAGCAAATTATCAAAGTGCTCGGAATTAAACATGGCAAGGCTTCATTTTGTTTTCATTATTGCCTCTTAAATCAGGCAGTTTATAATCTGCTGATTAAATGTAACGAAGTATGAACATTTTCAAACCAACGGTCAGTTCTTAGTTTTAATATAACACACAAGTAAAAATACAATTCTCACTCTCGTCATAAATTAAAAATATCAAAATTTACAGAGTTGTGGTGTGACTATTTTCATCTTTTCTTGGGCTCCGACATTCTCTTTATGCTATTTTTAAAGAAGCCGGGTTGGCTAAAAAATCACTTCATGAAGTGATGCGATAGAAATATCATTTATAAGACTTAAGACGATATAAAATGCGCTTTAAATATCTTGTGTCTTCGACTAACAATCTGAACAATAACCTGTTACTTAACCCCTCCACTTCTAGACCAAGTTATGACAAGATAATTTGTCACTCTAATTCTTAAATGAGGATGAAATACTCTGGTGTTACCATAAAAAAACCGTCTTTAACAGAACGTTTGCATCGTCCTACTTATTTCTCAGGATTCTACAAAGTAAAATTTGATTTTTTTTTGTTCTATTTTTAACTAGTTACCATTAGGAGTGGAAGGGTAAACTATATGCGTTTATAGCTTTACGGTACTAGCCGGCATAAAATCTTTTAAGTATGACCATGAACATAATCTCTCTCCACAATTTCTTTCTTGTGGTACTGTTTATTGTGCTGTACAGGGTGGTTTAAACTTTGGGATCTGCAAATGAAAACCTTACTGTGAAACTTCTCATGAAGGATAATCCGTAACACGCTGTGTTACAGTTGCTGTGTTACAGTTTACTTTGTTAACATGTGAATATTCAAATGTAATAAGTACGAAGAAAAACAGGCTAGTTGTAACGATAAAAGACGAGTTTACGAAACAACTACCGGATGTGAAATATGGAGATTCATTTGCGTATTTGTGTATAAACAGCCATATAATAGAGGGAGTAAAAAGGAAATGAAAAACAAAAGACAAAAGTGACAAGTTTAAATACCATTGGAAATTTACGCCACGCAGGCACAGAACACTTGATTTGAAACACGTGCAAATCACGTGCCTTTGTTCAATGCATTGGTCTATTGCTGTTCGCGCAATACACGAGAGGCGTATGGGCCAATCTCGCTCCTGTGATAGCAACCTGCTGTTGGGATAGCCTCCCTTCCACGGCGGTGGTTCTCGTGAAGGGAGGTGTAGTCACGTCTACTGGCGAAGAGTATCGATACCGTTCCTCGGGTATCGAGTTATAGTTTTGCGAGAATACTGGTGATGAATATCGAAATGCGTTCGGTGGCTCGTTGTCGTAAATCGACACTGGTCGATTGTCGTAAACCGACAAGGGCCGATGCTCATTGTTCGCGTGAATCTCCTGCCTATGCACAGACATCTCCAATTGTTCACCTCCGGTGGAGGCTCTACGGTGAAGAGTCCTGTTGGGGTGGTATTCTACTTTAGAACAGAATACAGTCTGATCTGAAGAGACGCGCTTAAACGATGTCAACACGGGGTGTCGCTTGACATGCGACGGAACCACGCCCTCACTCGTCGACGAACGTTCCCGAACGGGTTGGTGGACGAATGATATCGTAACTGGCTGATGAAGGGAAGTTCTTATCTCACTAACAGCATGATTGGCTTCACTACGCACATGCTTGGCTCTCACTGCTGGTCGAGGCGGCGGGTCACGAGGCATTTCACTAAGATTCTCGGCACTCCGCGCGTGTCGTACACCTTCCATGACACCACGCTGAGGCCGCGTCTCGCGCACTACACTGACATAAGTCCCTTGCTTTGTTTCCTGAACCCTTGTCTCAGGTTGTGCCGGTGCATCAAAACTTTTAGTCTTATTAAAAAAGCCTTTCCACTTTCTCCCGCTTATAGATCCTTCCCCAGACTTCCGCCTGGTTGGAACGTCCACTGCTGTCCGATAAACAGCAGTCTGGGACCTATGTGGAGCGTCTGTCGGCTTGGAACCCATATAACGTGCCGTAGGTCTAGACGGCGTGCTCTGGGCTCGTGCCCGGGCCTCCTCCAGGGAAATCAGCTTTGTAGGAGGAGAAATGGATAGAGACGCCATCCTAGGACCGATAGACGGAGTACCTGCAATGTCTACAGGAAATGTAGAAAACAAAGATAGTAAGTAAATCACACCAAATGTTGACCAACGTAAGAAGAGAGAAATTTGCAAAAGTTAAAGTATATTACCAAAACACTGACAATTTACTAAAAGTTTAGAAAGTTAATATACAAATCGCACATAACTTATTTAACATCCTTGCCCACGTTTAGGTAGTAGTAGTAGGTAGGTATTTGGTAATGTTTATGAGGGATAATAATGTAGCAGAGAAATTGTTCAACTTCATGATTTATAAGAAAACCTAGAAAGTTAATGCGACAAGGTAACCGATTTCGACTATACTACAGACGGTAGACTTGTTGGTTAAGTTGAAATGGGGCGGAAGATTTTAAGACGAGTTGATTTTTCTGACACTAATGTTTGCAGAAAATCTTCATTTTACAACCGACAGCCTACCCCCAGGGACGCCTTACTTTTATTACTCATTGTTTTGAAGTTTTCATGGTCAAAAAAAATACTTCGCGAGTGAGACGAAGGCAAGGAAACTAAAATTCATACAATACAACTTCATAAGGCTTCGTACCGGGGTCAGAGTCCATCTTTGCTTGGATGTCTTGGGAACCGGTAGAGTAACGTGGATTTGCCACAATCACCGCGGATGCCGCGTCCTGGTCAAAAAACACGTGCACATTCCTTATAAGGTATTCAATGATAATAGCCTGCACGTTGACTTGTAAGAGCGCGGCGCCGCCACCGTCCATGGCCATTGACCGTAAGAGGTTTGGGGACCATACTATCGCCAGGTTCTTGGCGTGCATGCCGGTATCAGGCGAAAACGAGGCTACATGTGCCAAGTGACGTAAGAGATACTCTAGTGTTCTGTAATGTGGCGGAGGAAGCTGTTGTACTACGTGATGCACGGCAATTTGCCGCTCTGATTCCTCGGTTATCTGGATAGCGGCCTGAAAACAAAACGGTAGCAAAAATTAATTACTTAAAAGAGCATCTATTTACGAGCATATTGTGACGTGCGGTATGGTTGTTTAAAAGGTGTTATTTCTTAGACGGAAAGAAACTGACTGGTTGATCAAAATTATATCATCAGCAGTTCGTTCAATACAAGAAACAAACGAGAGGCATGTAAAAAGAGAAAGAGACAAGTGTTCCTTGCATTTATTTAGTGTAGCCACTATGAAAATAAGAAAAAAACGCATTTACCACTCTTAAGTTACCGATGGATTGGGAAAAGGGGAACCATTTCTCCCTAATCAGACAGACTGTACAGGCACAGCTTTGACGAGTTGCTTCCTACTCAAAGTCTCCGCAGTCACATTGGCCAATCACAACACATAATGACAATTCAATGAACCAATCAGAAGTATTCAAATTAAATTCATTTACTCGACCTCACGCTGGGTCAATAACCCATATTATCAACGTAGTTAGCAGACGTCTTGATGGCGATACTTACCACGAACTTGTCGTACAAATGATAGGTCAGTAAAGGATTTGGAAGCTCCCTAAAAAAAATATCAGTTGTTATTTGCCATCAGCACTTATTATGCTTGTAACTAGCCTTAAATCTAAAAAGCTTCTTACATCGCACGCTGTAAAAATTAAAAAATGGCATATCTCTAGACGCCCTTCTATTCATTCCACTATCTTCATCAGTTTTCTACATGAAATGAACATCGACAGAAGATGACTGCAAAGGCAAAGTGACACTAAGGTTTCGTTCAATTAGGAAATCCGGATTTAAATGTTGCAATCGAACGCGATTCAGATGGTCTGAAAAAGGATTTCACCTCCGAGAAATCCGTCCTCAGGGTGGATTTCAATAAAGAAATCCAAATCCAGATTTCATGGATTTCCTCTTCACCGTTCGATTGGGAAATCCGAAAAAAGCATTTGGAAAACTATTCTCATAAATAGCGGTCTTCCCTTTGCTAATAGGGAGCTTTAACAGCGACAACGGCAACTGCAGCGAAAACGTCAGTTTTAAATCAATTCCCGTTTATTCCAATTTGCTGAAAATGGCAAGTGTAGGCGATTTTCCTTGGGGTTGATTTCTTCTGGACCGGACTCAAGTTTAGAGAGAGAAAACGAGATTCGACGTCGCTTGTTTACGTCCTCCATAAAACTTGCAATTAGGCATTTTCACGTCGTAGTCGTGCAAGGACGGTAAAGAAATGTACAAAAAAGCGTGATGCACGTGCAGAGTTGTTGTTTTGCGAAATAAAGCTATTGCTTTTCAGACGTCCTATTTGCCGTCGCCGTCGTCTTTGCTAAAGCTCATTAATTAACCGTGCGCGTGCAGGACTGCTGTTCTTGAGGACAGTTTTTCAAATCACTTTTCGGATTTCCCAATCGAACGGTAAAAAGGAAATCCAAACACAGATGTCTCAGCGTTGAAATCCGTTTTCAGATTTCGCGTTCGATTGCAAATCCGAAATCCGGATTTTTCAATGAAACCATAGTTATTAGAGGAGACTGGTTATGAAAAGCGGCAAACATCAATGATAAAAACAACAGTGCTGTAGTTTATGTTCAAAGCACCGTGAAAGTGCACAATCCTTTGTTTTCTGTTGGCAAATTGTTACGGAATAAATTAATGCAACGTTTTTATTGGTCAATACAATCAAAATGATAGGAATTCTTTTGAACGTTGTGCACTTTCAGGTCAACAAAAACATATAACAAAGGAGTCTGACGGGTTTCATAACCATTCCACTCAATTAACTATGATGAAACGCACCCTAACATAGCGATGTTGTGCCCGCCATACTGAATGCAATAATACAGCCGAACAAAACAAAAAGGCTGAAGGCAGAACCAAAACACTAAGGAAGGGGGAAAGGGAAAGAAAAAAAAGGGAAGAGGGGAACAAAATCAGCCCAACACGTTGTAAAATCTCGGTCGCGCTACTTATTTGTTGGAGGAAAACTAGCAGTCAGATTTAATACGAAACGTTTCATGAACTTAACAGGTAAACACATCCATGTTCAGTCACTACAAAATAACAAGCAATTATTGACAGTTTTTACTTGGAGAGGTTCTGGTTATGTTATCAACCCTTTACAATGCTGATCAGGAATAGAACACTTAGAGGAAACTCTTACCTAAAGTACATCTTGAGTAAGGAACTGATGCAGTGGATATCCCGGATGTAACATTCTTTAAGGAGGTCAGGTGCTTCATCTCCATCAAACGCCAACCTGAAACACAATTTATGTAAATGAAAGGGTTTATTTTCCCTTAAACTGAAAAAAGGATAATCACGTCTCCTAACTTGTTCTCAGGGTCTGAACCCTCGTCTGTATTTCTAAGCAATTTTATTCGCAAATAACAAACAACAACAACAAACAAGCAAACACAGTACAACCACCATGTGCGACCACCTTTCGTAAACTACCACCTCCCATAAGTTAAGAACAACATTCCAGAAAAGGGGAGTGGGGAGAACGGCCATTCATTAAGCGAGGGATCGAGAGGACAGGAAAAAGAAGGAATTTTTCCAAATTATCCTAACTATTTTTGTTCGAGGATGTAAATTTCTAGTCTTTGAACCAAGGCTCCAGTGGACGCTTCCCCTCCCTTTCGCCTTTCCCCGCGCTTGTATGAATGAATGAATGAATGAATGAATGAATAAATGAATATTTTTGAGAAATTGTAAATGCCGAGACTAGGAATGTGTTCGAATAACTTGAACTACTTGCAAAATAAGACATCACGTCTTTACCACATTCGACGCACGTGTAAGAAATGTAAAATGTAAAAATAAAAATGTTCTAGAAGTCTTAAAATCCTCGTAATGTATTTCGCTCTTCGAGCCTCGTCAGTCAATAAACTTTTATTGACAAAGTCTACCAGCCGCTACTAACCTTAGTTTCTGGATGTTTGATGACATGCCAGACAATCGGTAAACTCCATCAACGATGCCGTGTGACTCGATAACTTCTGAGCACTTTACTAACACAAGTGGAACTAGCGAAGAAAAATACAAGTTCTATGAAAAATCTTTACACTCATTACGGTAACCACTCCCTGTTTACTCATGGAGGACACTTTTGCCAAATTTTGGTTAGGAGCGACATCCTTAAGAACATTTGCGTTCGACGTAGGAGAATGCAATTCTAAGATTGGAGTGATTGTGTGGGACAACTTACACACGAATGTTGGGACACGTATCTGACATCGACCCCGCAGATATCGCAGGGGCGAATAACATCATTAACCTGCTAAAGGAGAGAGAGAGCCTGGAAATTGGACCGGTCGAACGTCCTCGGTAATCTTTATTATTACTGTTATTAGGCTTACTGCAGACGCAAGCAATAATTTGCACAAGACTCTTTACCTTCTGCATTGTTGTTCTTTGCTAAATGCTCCCCTAAATCACAACCAAACGTGCGCTCCCTGCAAAACAATTAAGAAACCGCGAGTTTAAATCGGGTAGGGGAGGACGAGACCTAATAGGGATGGCCTGACATTTCCGAAGATAGAAACGTGATGTTAATCAAGTTGTCTCGGAGCCACTGCTGCAGTTTACCAGCTTGTAGGTGAAGTCCAAAAGTACTTTTTTGTGACATGGTTGACTATGTTTGTTAGGATGCTTTCAATCTTTAGTTCATGGATGAAATCCTAAAGTGTGACCATTCAAATAAAAGATTTTGAGCAGTGTTTTAATGTGGTGATGTTAACTATACTGTTAAACGTTTTTCTAACTTAACTAACGTCAGTGTATGAAGTCTTGAATTGAGACCATTTAAACGAAAGCTAAAAAGTAGTAGTTTCCTTGGGTATTGCTCATTGCACTAGGTGTTTCTAGCTTTACTTCTAATCTGAAACCTAAAGTGAAGAAAACATTTGAAATTTTCTTTGAAATTGTTTATCTCGCTCATTTCTAGCACAAATAGGTTCGTCTTTCGAGGTCGCGGGATATTTAATATTGAGGTCCATTTTAGAACCCCACGTTATGTTGAATATGGGAGAACTTAGGAATCAACAATTCGCATGACTTACTTTAAAATACCGCTTTGCAAGAGCCGAGCCTTGGAAGGTCGAGAAGACAGAAACAGTCTGAGAAAAGTGACAATTTTCCCTCGCTTCTTGGCAACTAAAATGAAAGAAAAACAGGTTAATACCAAATTCAAGACCAAAAAGGCAAGTCATCAAATACTGGCTATGTCTTACTACGACATTAGAGACCTTTAGATTCAAGGACAAGAATGACTACGAGTACCAGATGTGATTATTTCAAGTTTTTTTTCCGGTAATATTGTCAAACAACATTTTAACATTTGATAACTTGTTTCTGCCACTACAACATTTTCACTCAAACTCGTAGTAGAATGACGACGATCATCACGTTTTCCCGCCAAAATGACGCTGCTTCACGCGCGAGCACTACTTAGTAATGAGAACGGCGAGAGTCGAGCAAAACACACGCAGGAAAAAAGTGACGTGGAAACACGCGAGTGACACGAGCTCGCTCGGCTCGAAAACAAATTATCTTACCAGGTGACATGTGCAGTGAGGTCCCAGTGCTAGGAAGCGTGTTTTGGCCGTCCGTTTTGTCACCGATAACTTCAACACACTGACTGGGAAAAAATCCAACCTGAAAAGACAATCCAAAGATATTAGCTATTAGCAAATACAAACGCTATAACTTTGGCATTAAGATTTGAGGCTTGTGATATGGGCGAATAGCCCTTCGCTCTTTCAGAAGGTTTAGGCGAAACAGTCAACTTTTCTCAAAGTGGCTGGACGATTTTTTGTTTACCTATAACTTGTTTCACTTTACCCTGCGAGCAGAGGTAAAGTCGTTCGTGTCGCTCGTGTCAGCTACCTGAACAACTATGTAAACGCTAAAAGCCATGCAAGAGAGAAACCTCTGCACGCAGTGTAGCTTCACAAGGTACTTTTCCGTTCTAACACTTCCAAAATGAAATATTCAAAAATTTTGTCCCATTTTGTCTTTGCCCACTTTTGAGAGTGAAATGGTTCGGCAAACTCTTCAACGGCGCATTCTAAGTAATGCTTGTGAATGAATGAATGAATGATGAATGATAACTTTATTTATACACGGTTAAAAACATCAGCCTACCATAGAAAATTAATTTAAAATTCTCAAAAACTGTTTTACATATTTGTCGTGTGGGAGTACCGATCAGACAACCATCTATGGGAACTTCTCTTAAAGAAACCTAAGGAATTTGATGTACGTATTTCCTCAGGAAGATTGTTCCATAGAAGAGCGCCACTGTACCTGACGCTACGCTTCAGGTAATCAGTTCTTTGTTTTGGGAGCATTATTTTTTTCTTCGCGCTGGGAAAATAGTAATTCGGTGTTCTTGGGGCAAACAAATTACAGAGATAAGCTGGGGCGAGATTATTAATGCAGTTGTACATTAAATTAGCGTTTTGTTTAGCCCTTCTAACAAATTCTCAAACGGCTGAGCCGTAATACACTAAATACTGCATCAAAAACTGCAGTACTCATTACACAGAGCTACAATATGTGAAGCGTAACTAACAAAAAAAATGGATACAAAGTTCTGATTTTTAACTATATCAACATACAGGGGGAAAAAATCTATTAGCATTAGTGGATTCAAAAATTACATGTTATTAAAAAAAAACGATTGCGGATTCATATCTTTTTTTAGGGACTTTTCAGATGGTCTCCGACCGATAGCATGAAAGTCAAAAATACCAATTACGCGTAAGAATATTAATGACAATGAATTGACCCTTTTTATTATGGAGGCATGTAAGGTAGTTAAAACGTTTTAGTTTGAGGACGACCGGTCCGGCCAGGGGGCCACCAATTAAATAAAACCTCTTGAACAATATTTCTACAAGTAACCATTAGTTTCATTGGAACCTTGCACTTGTTCTGTAGTCTACGAATGAAATCCTAAAGTGTGACCACTCAAATGGAAGTTACTGAGTAGTATATCGATGTGATCCTGTTTAACACGCTATACAAGTCGGTTCTAATCTAACTTTGGAGTCTGTGGATGACATTCTACAGTGTGACAATTAAAACGAAACCTCGTGAGAAGTTCTTTTAAATTGTACGACTTAATGGGATTTTTCGTACATTTTTATTAAAGGCAGTCGAGGGAGCAGAAGTGATATTAATACTAGGGACAGACATCTTTACATTCAAGGGAAGAAATGACTTGGGCGAGGAAACCATCAGTAACAATCACATATAAACATCTAATAAGATGATTGGCTATAATCTACTACCTTTCTAGCTTTGACTTCATCCAAATAAGCTTGTTATACAATGCCCGTGGGTAAATATTTACACGATACACATATCAATGACAAAAACAAAGTGGATAACACACTGAACAAAAATACTATACAACAACTATAAACAACACTGACAAGATTTGCTTTTTTGTTAAGAAATGCTCCCGAAAACACCAAAATGTTAGAGTGGTGCTTTTCTGTGAAGGATTTTCGCCTCGTACGCAGATCTAACCAAAACAATAACACATCGTTAGCATACCTGAAATCCTTGTTTTCCTCGCCACCACAAACTTTCTTCAACTGGTGGCATATCAATAACAGAAATGATCCCGCCAACCTACAAGGAGAAACTTCGGTGAACTTTGGAAATAACTACCTATTTATTTTTCTTTTTTGTAAGAAACCGTCTACCGCATTAAACAACGTGGCCGATTGCGAAATACGGTCGCCTACGAACGTAATGTAACAACTCATAGTCAAAATTAATACAAACGACATTCTATGTGCCATGGTTCTTACCAGAAATGAAGCAATTTTAGAGAGAGGTCAACGATTCAGTCGCAGAATGCGTTTATGGATTTTCGCTTTGCTGGCAGTCGAGTCTTTTCCCTCCTAAATCAAATGAGATTCATCCTTGATTACTGAAATATTGTAAAGTCGCGTTGTACAAAGGATACGCTACATCGAGCGGAATAATTTCCTCTTTACGTCAGCTACGTCAAGGTATAAACAACAGCGAAAGAACTGCGCAAAATTGCGACAACTTGGTTTCCGCTGTACAAGATTAATATACAGCTCCCGTCATAAAAGTCCTTTTTGGACTAAATTCACAGAAAATGTCATTTTATGGTATTTTTGTGCCACGCAATGTAATAAAATAGATTCATTTGAAAGGCAACTGGCATCAAAAGAATGTGTTTTGAAAAGCATTCATTTGAATAGTCACACATTCGTGACTTTTTCCCCCAAGTCTGAGGTAACTTGTAGAGCATTAGGCAGCACTACAGAAAGGTTAATACTGAGTTGTTTTTTTTTCCCTTTAGGATTTCACCTACAAACGCAAAATTTAGAAACAAATTGTACAGTTTTAGCACAGGTAGCCCAAGCTCGAGATATGACCATCAGCACTGCTGCGTAACGCTCAAAATATAAGGATTTGCATGGGAGAAAACAATTGTTTCTGTAGCCTTCGAATGTAAAAGGATTTAAATAAAAATCGGCTAACCTTGGGCTTAAGCTGTGTGTTTCTTCTTTCCTGTGTGGTTTCTGAGCCGATTTATGGCCATTTAATGGGTGTTATTGGAAAACCGTTTACAGTACGACCCGTAAGACGGCGGATATATCGGCCCATGGACCACACAGGAGAGACGTAACACATTTTATGTAAGGGAAGCTCTTTGTTTTATTGAAATCCTTTCATTTTTGTAGGTTACAGAAACGACAACTCTTTTTCTCCATACAAATCCTTATATTTCAAATGTGACGCAGCAATGCCGATGCTCGCCAATGCTCATATTTCGAGCTTGGGCAACCTCTGGTTCGTGTTAATGATCAGCGCAGCAGGAGAGCACTGCTCAGTATATTTCATTCAAATAGTCACGCTTCAGGATTTCATTCAAATAATCAAAGTTAGAAACACCTTGTACCGCACAACAAACTACAGCACAGGAAAAAAACCTGGAGTGGTAGCTTTTATTTGAATGGTTAGATTGCATCCAGACTCAAAAGTTAGAATTAGATTTTTTAATGAACAGTAGCACAGGGAGGTATTAATTTAATGATCACATCGTATGAATCCTTCCTCAGACAGGTGGCCAAAAATGTGATCGAGTTGGTTACAGAAATGGTCTCTGAAGAGTTCGCTTAAGAATAATGAGAACACAACAAGAACCATTCATGGTATGCTGCTGAAAGAAAAGACAATTAGAGCTCAATAGTTAAAAATAATGACCGTCTAAAGATCGAACAGATATCAACCTTCAAATTAATTTTTATGAATAGTTGATTCACGTGATCCGCCGCCGTTATAGAAACTGACCTAATAGTTGGGAGACAGTCACGCGACTAAAACAAAACTCTTGTCGCTAGCTGTTCTCTGTAATGGGTCTTTCCGCAAGTAACATTATTTTATCTGTAAAATGCAGGCTTCGCCTCACCTGGTTTCAATGATAAGTTCGACGACCTTATTTGAAATGGCTCAATGGAATGAAGAACCCGGGGGGCTGTTTTTGATTAAACATAGTACAGCTAGGAGAGATGAACTGTCGCGCGAGAAACGTGAGCGGATCTCAAGAGGAAAAAATTCGCTAAAACAAACCTTGTCAAACGAAAAACGGTAGACGCAAGCAGAAATAAAAGAAGAAGAAGAAGAAACACTTTAACTAAACCTGATTTTAGCCATTGTTGGCACTATGCAGTCATACGCAAAATTGTACGAAAATTGACGCTTGGCATCTTCGTCTTGGGCGCCAAGAACCTTCCCAACACGTGGCTAGCTTAACCCACACGACCCTCATAAACAATTCATGAAGAAAACAAAAAGGAAAATTATTTTTAAAGGAAGTTCAAAGGAATTAAATGTTAAATGAGTTTCTTTATATTTGAAAGAGACACGGCTTAACTTCACGTCAAATTTTCTTGTCCAAAATAACTCCAAAACCAGTTATTGGTGCCAAATTGAATAGATTTACATCCCAAGTTTTTGTTGAAAACACTGTACCGCCGTGGAAAGTTGTTGGAACACTTTATCTTGATATTATTTGCGTTACTTTTAAATATTTCGCTTTCTTGAGTGTTTAAATTCTCAGTTCGTGTTTATCAAACTTTGATAAAGCACTCTCGTTCTTTTATTAAACTATACCAATGTTTTCTTCTTCCTATTAGTATTCGCTGTGGCTATATGCCAGACAGCTGGGGAGGGTCTTAAAATAACTAAATGCCCGGCGGTCAGAAAATTTTCTAGAATCTCTGTAAAATCCTTTTTTCTACTTTATTCCATTTAAAATGACCAAGCGATCAGGAAGACAACAATGGCTTCGCAGCTGAGCGGTTGTAGCTCACAGCGATTAGTATTAACAATTATGTCATGTCGAGGAGACGAAACTTCACTTGAAACGCGACAACCCTCATTATTCAGACACCTTCGTAAAACGCAATACGGCTCTTTAAAGGAGCTGTGTCACGAAATTGAGCCAAATTAAGAAATTACAAAATGCCCGTTGAATTAAGAGAAACATAAAAATAACCGCTTAAAACTTTAAAGGATTAAAATAATATAACAGAAACAACAGATGTCGCGGATGGGCAAAACTGAAGAAGATTGAAACGGATTGAAATTAGGATTTTTGAAAACTGTTAAGCCTAACAGTTTTTCAAAGTTGATCCCTGCTACTTGCAACTTTAAGAATCATGCTCAGGAGACATATTTGTTTGTCTCGGGTCTCTGATTCTGTTATTTACATGTAATTTCTTTGCTTACTTTAAGTTCCATAGCGATCGAAGGCGAGTAATTGGCAAAATTAAACAAAATGAACTGGACTGCCGTGACACAGCCTCTTTAATTTGTCTGTTTTTATGTTACGCCCCCTTTCATACCACAACAAAAAGTCGAAAAGCTCCCGTTGGCGTGACATGCGGAACCTCTTCAAAACAGGTCACGCGTGACTAAAAAGACATAGATTGAACAACGGAAACACGCAACAGGATATGTTAATCCACAGCAATTGAAAACACGTCATAAACTTTGAGGTAATAAGTGCCAGCGTAACTAAATTGATTCTGACCGTATTCAGAGGGCATAAACACATTCAGTATAGATTTAAAATTGCGTGTTCCGTAAGACATAAGACAGTATAGTTACTCCCGCCACCGCAATAAATGCTTAAACTAACAAGAGTTAATAGGATAAAGCATCTCTTAAATAAAAAAAAGAACCTAATCTGCCTCGTAAATTCTCTCGTCTTCCGCAAATTATTTTAGAGTCTATTTTACTATCCGACTGTACGGAGTAGCACAAGCAATAAGAACGTTACAAAACTTCAGCTAGTCTAGAACTATAACTGCTCAATCGTAGCTGGTTTTAGAGGGTACGATCATTAACTGGTTTAACGTAAGGGACAAACTGCTTTTTAACGACAAAAACGAAAAAAACTCACCAAAGAGACACTAGGCAGAATAACGACCTTACGTTGCCTACAATAGGTACAGCCTGGCAATTGGCCAAAGGGCTTTTGCCTACCGTGGGGCAAAAATGCATAATACCTTATTTAAGGATATAAGACACGGAAAGTCTTACCGTTTTTTAAAAAGAGGAATTTTAAAAATCTTTTTAATTCATAGACAGTCTTTTATCATTGAAATGTATATAGTCTTCACAATTAACGTATTATTATTAATAGTAGTAGTAGTATTATGATTATTATGATTATTTTTATTATTACCTTTTGGTTCGTTATTATATCATCGAAACGTAAATAGTTTTCTATTTTATTTTATTTTATTTTATTTTTCAATTCATGTATGTATGGCGGAAGAGCCCCCAAGGGAAAGCTATGCAATAAACTATGTATGTGTATTTATTAAAAAGCCGTGAATTCGTGCATTATCCATTCATTTCGTTATCGCTGCTGTTGTAGCTCACGATAGGAGAGAGAGACAAAAAAATCGCGTCCAAACAAGTCAAGATAAGCGTTGACAAATTGAAGAATTTTTGATCTAAGTTAAATCAATCGAGACCAACAGAAAAGTATAGAAACAAGCAAGAAAGCGGAAGTTTTAAGCCTTAAGCGAATCCTCTAGTGTGACTAACCGAATGAAACCTTTTGGAGTACTTTAACGTGTGAGCTCTAAATACGTGAACGAAAACTAACCATGTCACCATTCAAATAAGCTTCTTTTTGAGAAGTACTTTCACATGGTAACTTCTGAGCCTGTGGACGAAAACCGTGGGCGTGACCATTCGAATGAATTCCCTTTTCTAAGTGTCTTAAACAGTGGCAGCGACCGTTTACGAAAGGGAATTTGCATCGGTGTGGCTCCACCTCAAAGCCAAATCCGATGCGATCCACCTGGGTGTTAAGATACATTTGATATGCAGGATAACTTAGCCAACACAGTGGATATAAACCATTCACAATGATTATATGTATACCTCAAGTGAAATTTCATCCGCGGCCTGTGCGGTGTATCTTTTGATCACGTGTGCAGCGGCTATTCCAGGAACATTTATTGGTGATTCATCTGTCAATAACATGTGGTTTCCATGGTTATCAAGCTGAAAAGCAACAGACGTTGCAGAGAAAATATTCATCAATTAATTATTTTTCGTCGGTTTGAC